GAGACTCCAACTCAAAAAAAAAAAAAAAAATCAATGTCTAGTGAGTGTAACAGAAAGAAGAGACTCGACCAGCATGCCCACCGTGCCAGGCACAGAAGAGGGTTCCTTAGAGCTGCCACAGACACTTATTAAACACCAACTGTGGCGAGCCAGACATGATTCTGTAACATAAATTCACGTGCATCCAGAAATTTAAACAACAAAGCAAAAACAGCAAACCACACTGGGCAACATAGCCAGACCTTGTCTCTACAAAAAGATCAAAAAATTAGCCGGACATGGTGGTGCACACCTGTGGTCTCACTACTTTGGGAGACCAAGATGGGAGGATGGCATGAGCCCAGGATTTCAAGACCAGCCTGGGCAACATAGCAAGACATTGTCTCTACAGAAGAAAAAAAAGAATTAGCCAGGTGTGGTGGCGCACACCTGTAGTCCCAGCTATTCAGGAGGCTGAAATGGGAGGATCACCTGAACCCGGAGGTCGAGGCTGTGGTAAGCCATGAGCATGCCCATGCCCTCCAACCTGGGGGACAGAAGGAGACCCCGACTCAGGATAAAAAGAGATTGTGACATGCTATGAGATGGCGTCAGGACAGCGTTAAACCAAGCCCAGGCTCTTTTTTTTTGAGTTGGAGTCTCACTCCGTCACCCAGACTGGAGTGCAGTGGCCGCTCCTGGCCACCACAGCCTCAGCCTGCTGGGCTCCGGCGATCCTTCTGCCTCAGCCTTCCGAGTAGCTGGAACTACAGGCGTGCGATACCACGCCCGGCTGATTTTTTTTTATTTATTGTAGAGATGAGGTCTCGCCTGCCCAGGCGCGTCTCGAACCCGCGGGCTCAGGCAATCCACTCACCTCAGCTTCCCAAGGCGCGGGCTGACAGGCTGAGCCTCCGAGCCCAGCTTCAAGCGTGGGCTCTTTAGTGCTCGGGGCCAGCAGGACAGCCTGTGAAGCCACCCTGGATGGCACAAAGGGACCGGGCGCCTCGCTGGCATCCACCATGCCAGGGACCTGGGCCCCCTGCCGGCCCCCACCCTGGCCCTGGCGGCTTCTCCCAAGCCAGCGGGGCCCCAGCCCAGCGCCCGTCCATGGCCCGGCGACTCTGGGGCTGCCCTCTCTTGCAGCATGGAGATGTGTGACCAGAGACATAACATCACCATGTGTCCCCTCTGCGACAAGACGTGCAGCTACTGGAAGATGAGTTCCGCCTGCGCCACGGCCCGGGCCAGCCACCTCTTCGACAACCCGGCCACCGTCTTCTTCTCCGTCTTCATGGCCCTCTGGGGTAAGCGGGGTCTCCAGCGCGCTGGGTGCTCGGGACAGAGGCGTGTCTGGGTGGCTCCTTCACTGCCTCTGTCCTCCTTCGTGGATTTGCCAGGGACAGACATGGGGCTGAGGGGTCAGTGGAAAGGAACCCCTTATGTGTGCTCAGATGGCGCGTGCCTGTCATCTCAGCGCTTCTGGGAGGCTGAGGCAGGAGGATCGCTTGAGGTTGGGAGCTTGAGACCAGCCTGGGCCACACAGCAAGACCCCATCTCTGCCAAAAAAAAAATTATGTTTTTGGAGTTGGAGTGTCACTCTGTCACCCAAGCTGGAGTGCAGTGGTATGCTCACGGCCACCTCAGCGTCAACCCGCCGGGCTCCGGCGAGCCTTTCGCCTCAGCCTTCCAAGTTGCCGGAACAACAGGCACATGCTGCCATGCCCGGCTGTTTTTTATTTTATTGTATTGACAAGGTCTTGCCAAGCTGCTGGTCTCGAACCCGCCGGCTCAGGCATTCCACTCGCCTCAGCCTCCCAAAGTGCTGGGATGACAGGCTGAGCCACCGAGCCCAGCCAAAAATTTTTTTTGAAAGAGAGAGAATTGCAGAGGGGTGATTCTGACCCTGCCAGGAGCCCCTTAGGAAAAGCCCAGGAAGGATGTCTGCTCGAGCAATCCTAGACCAGGGTGTGCTGGCCCCCGCAGGCTCTGCCCCCCACCCTGCAGGAAAAGCTGGCCTGGACCAGGCCCTGGGGTACCGTCTCTCGTGAGACCCCCACAGCAGCCCTGCAGGGTTGGTGTGTCCATTCCACAGGTGAGGAAGCTGAGGCCCAGAGAGTCCGTTTGCATTGCCTGCGGTCACTTAGCTCCTGAGCGGCTTGGGGGTGGGGGGGGCCGTGCAACTCAGTGCCCACACCCTGAACCTCTGGGCTTCACGGTTGGGCTTCACGGCCACCATGCCCGGGGCCCAAGCCTCTACTCCAAGACCCCTGAGTCCCACCCGACTCCAGCTGTGGGGACGGGGGAGGTTGGAACGTCGTGGCTGAAGACATTTCTGCAGAGGTTTCTGGGGCAGCAAGCGGGACCGTGCCCGACTTGGACATCCCCGTCACAGCCTTTGCCAGGGGATTCGGGATCTGGGCTGGGGGCAGCCAGGGCTGTCCCCCAGCCCCGGCATCTCACTGGGCACCCAAGCTCCCATCTTACTCCCAGGGGCTTCCATCTAATAGGAGAGGGGGCCAGGCACAAAGGCGGCACAGGAGGACAGGGCCAAGTCCTCTCGGGGAGGGAAGTCAGGAGGAGCTTCTTGGAGGAGGCGTGCGACCCTGGAACCGAGTTCTGAAGACGTGGAGGGTGAGGAAGGGGGCATTTGTGGCACGAATGGGACCAGGTGTAGAAAGTGAGAGGCCTCCTGGTGTCCCCTCTTCCGCCCCTGCTGAGGGCACCCATCCCATCTCTGCAGCTCAGCACAGGCCCACCTGTGCATACCGTGCACGGGTGAGGGGCACCAGTGGGCGGAGAGCCAGGTGTTTCATGGGTGAGGACAGAGGCTGCCACTGCCCAGCCACGTGTGTGGCTCCACATGGCCAACCCCCCTTCGCCCCCCGCCAGCGTGATGTGGATAACAGACCTAGAATTCGGTACTGGAACAAGCAGGTCATCAAGAACGTGCCAGAATCTTTGCCAGGGTGAGGGCTGGAGGGGGGATTTGAGGTCGGGCCCTGGCGCTCCAGCTCACTCAGGCTTCTCGTGGCCGAGGGGTGGCTGCTGGGGGAGGCTGGACCCTCAGGGGATCTCTGGAGGCCAGAGGCCGAGGCGGACCCTGGCCCTGTTCAGAGTCACCCCGCAGGTCCCCAGGGAGGGACGGAAACTGGACACGGGGCTGGAGTTCTCCCCGGCAGTGTTGAAGGTGCTTCTCGCGAGGTCGAGGAGGCTGATGGGCCTGAGCGGAGACTCAGGGCTTGGCTGCCCTTGGAGTTTGGAGGTGGGAGTGGCAGATGAAGCCAGGGACGGGGACACCTGGCCTCCCCGACTCCAGGGTTCCTCCTGCCTCCCGCCAGGGGTCCATCCCATATTCTGTATTTTATTTTAGATTCAGGAGCTGGGTGCAGTGGCTCACGTCTGTCATCCCAGCACTTTGGGAGGCCGAGGTGCGAGGACGGCTTGAGCCTTGGGGCTCCCTACAAAAATAAAAATTTTAAAAACTAGCCAAGCCGGGTGCGGGGGCTCAAGCCTGTCATCCCAGTACTTTGGGAGGCCGAGGTGAGAGGATTGCCTGAGTCTGTGGGTTTGAGACCAGGCTGGGCAACTTGGTGAAACCTTGTCTCTGCGATAAATCAAAAAAGTAACCGGCCATGGTGGCGCACACCTGTCGTTTCGGCTACTTGAAGGCTGAGGCGGGAGGATCGCTTGGTCCCGGAGGTTGAGGCTGTGGTGAGCCGGGATCTCAGCACGGCACTCCAGCCTTGGCGGCAGGGTGAGACCCCGAGGAAGCTCGGTGGACGGAGGGGGCCCAGGCCTGGTTAGAAGTCGAGGGCGGGGCTTTCTCTGGAGAGCCCTGTGGGGTGCTCGGCCAGTGCATCATGGGGGCACCCTGCCCCCCTTGGGATAATCTGGCTTCTGCTCGTAGGGGTTTATCAACATCAGAGCAATGGAGGCAAAACTCTGGGAAGAGGTCTAGAGGGAAGAGCCTCCCTCCCAGCCCTGGGGGAGGGTCCCCAATTCTGTCCCATTCATTCCTTCCTGCTGAGAGCTCTGGGGAGTCCAGTAACCTCTTCTCCAGAGAGAGGTCTCCGCAGAAAAGGAATGTTTCTTGGTTTGGTTTGGTTGCTTTTGAAGTTTTTTGTTTTGGGGTTTTTTTTGAGTTGGAGTCTCACTCTGTCACCCAGACTGGAGTGCAGGGGCCGCTCCCGGCCACCGCAGCCTCGCCCTGCTGGGCTCCGGCGATCCTTCCGCCTCAGCCTTCCAAAAGTTTTTTGTTTTATTTGAGATAGGGTCTTGCTCTGTCTGGGGATTACAGGTGTGCATCACTCCTCCCAGCTAATTTTTTTTTTTTGAAAGCAGGATTGCCGGGCTCTGTAGCTCAGCCTGTCATCCCAGCGGTTTGGGAGGCCGAGGTGAGTGGATTGCCTGAGCCTGCGGGTTCGAGACCTGCCTGGGCAACTCGGTGAGACCTCATCTCTACAATAAGTCAAAAATCAGCCGGGCATGGTAGCGCCCGCCTGTAGTTCCAGCTACTCGGAAGGCTGAGGCAGAAGGCTCGCCGGAGCCCAGCGGGTCGAGGTTGCGGTGACCGGGAGTGGCCACTGCACTCCAGTCTGGGCGACAGAGTGAGACTCCAGCTCAAAAAAAAAATTTTTAAACAAAATAATAAATAAATAAATAAAAATTTTAAAAATAATAAAAAAGAAACCAGGATTAATTGAGAGGACAGAAAAGCTCCCACAGTGGGAAGGGACCCGAAGGGGTTGCCCTTGAATTTTTATGTAGAGAAAGGAGGTCTCACTATCCTGTCCAGGCCGGTCTGGAACTCCTGGCCTCAAGCAGGCCTCCCACCTCAGCCTCCCAAAGTGCTGAGATGACAGGCAGGAGCCACCACGCCCGGCCAGAAGAGCCGTTCCCATCACCCCGAAGAACTCTGGTGCTTTGCACTGTTCCCGTGCATTGAGGAGACACCAACGGGCTTGGCCAGAGGTTCCATCTGGAGCTCAGGGAGTATAAATTACAGCCTCCAAGCCTGAGCTGCATGAGCGGCTTTTAGGGGCACTGGAGAGGTCAGCCTCCACTCTCTGCCTCCCAAGTTCCTCCACCCCAGCCTTGCCTGGGGCTTGGAATGTCGCCACCATCTTTGCAGTCCCGGTGTCCCTGTCTTGCCCAGGTGCAAGAGCCAGTCTGTTCCCCTGCAGAGAAGCACTTCTGCTTCTCCCATGACAAGGGCCGCTGCCCCAGGCGAGGGAGCAGAGGCTGAGGGAGGCTGGCCCAAGAGGTAACCGTCTCAGGCTGTAATAATCATATTTCCAGCCTGACACACCCAGTGACAAGAGCCCATGGCTGGTCTTGCTTTGAGAGCCTGAAAAGTTCCATTGCGTTCTGTAGGTTCTTTCTTTTTTTTAGAGACAGGATCTCACTCTGTCGCCCAGGCTGTAGGGCAGTGGCACAATCATAGCTCACGGCAGCCTTGAAATCCTGGGTTCAAGGGATCCTCCCGCCTCAGCCTCCTGAGTAGCTGGGACTACAGGCACGCACCACCATGCCCGGTTAACTTTTTGTAGCGCGGTCTCACTCCATTGCCCAAGCTGTTTTCGAACCCCTGGGTTCAAGCCATCCTCCCGCCTCGGCCTCCCAAAGTGCTGGGACGACTGTCGTGAGTCCCCGTGCCCGGCTTCTTCTGCCGATTTTACGTTTGGGGTTTCCGTGTGGGACGCGCCTGGGGAAAAGGAGCCCTCTGCTGAGGAGGTTGGAGGCTCAGTGAGAGCCCAGCCCTCTCGGAACGAGCGAGGACCCCAGGCAAGGCTGGAGAAGGGACTTCCCGGCAGCCATCCGGGGTCTGTGGGCGGGCATGAGCACGTGTGAGCCCACTGGGCAGGAGGACAGACGGAGGCAGCCGGCCCGAGCTCGCTCCAGCTGGTAAGAGGCGGAGGTGAGGCTTGAACCCGCGTTCTGGTTCCAGGGCCTCTAATACTCGGCACGATCCTCCACTCCCTCGGCCTCCACCCTCTCTGCCTCTGCTGTTCCTGACTGTCTCTGTTCCTGACCCGGCTGCCTCCCGTTTATTTTTTTCTCCTGGAGGAGCTACCTGCCTGTCTCCACAAGATTACGTCTCCTTCCCCTCCCCGTCCTGCACCAAGGGGACTCGGCCCAGGCTCTCTGGATAAAACTCACAGAGGCCCAGGAGGGAGGCACTGTGATTTTCTCTGCCGGGGGATGCTGAGGCACAGAGAGGTTAAGTGACTTGCCCAAGATCACACAGCTCACAGACGTCACAGATCCCCACCCTGGCCCGTCGGCCTTCAAGGCCCAAGCCAGG